GGCGATTCTGTTTGCTGTTGCCGTGGCCGTGTTTGTCACATGATTGGTGCATTCCCGTTGAAGTTGCCCAGCCGGGCACCACGTTTGTCAGTTGTGCCTGTTTGAAGTTGCCAGGCCAGCTTGTATTGGTGCGTTCCCGTTGAGTTTGCCGGGGCACCATGTTTGAAACGGCGTTCCCGTCTGCTGTTGCCGGGGCCGTGTTTGTATTCGTGCATTCCCGTTGAAGTTGCCCAGCGGGGCACCACATTTGTCAGTTGTGCCGCTTTACAGTTGCCAGGCCAGCTTGCATTGGTGCGTTCCCGTTGAGTTTTCCGGGCACCATGTTTATAACGGCTTTCCCGTTCGCTGTTGCCGGGGCCGTGTTTGTATTGGTGCACTCACGCTGAAGTTGCCGAGCGGAGCACCACGTTTGTCAGTTGTGCCTGTTTGAAGCTACCAGGCCAGCTTGTATTAGTGCGCTCCCGTTGAGTTTACCGGGGCACCATATTTGTAACGGCGTTCCCGTTTGCTGATGCCGGGGCTGTGTTTGTTTTGGTGCATTCCCGCTGACGTTGCCCAGTGGAGCACCATGTTTGTCAATTGCGCCTGTTTGAAGTTGCCAGGCCAATCCTGTAACGCGCACCCGTGTGCAGTTGCCGGGTGACATGTTTGTCAATTGTGCTTGTAGCATACTGCCGTGATGTGCGATTAATAACAGGCCGCCGGAGCTGGTCAGGTTATTACCGGACCAACTTTTCAGCCACGAACACGTGTTTCCTGCTGTGGAGGGCAGGTGTACCCGTCACACCCTACACAAAGTATAACGGCCATGATACTACCGGACCACTCAAACGCTGCATCCGGCGGTCCTGAGTAAGGCGATAATAATTACGAGCCATGCATTGGTTTGTTTTGCCAATGGCTCTTTGTGGTACATGGCAATTTGCTATCATTCGTGACATTTCACAGAGTGACGAATGTGAGCAGACAAAACAAAAAGAAAAGAAATAATTTTACTAATGGCAAACCCCGGCCCCCACAATTATCAACCTCCGAGCGCTGAACAACTATCTGTAGTATCACCACTTCGCGCTGGAGTCATTGAAGACAGTGCCGGATCACCTCCACCTAGGGGATGTGCTGATCGGGATAGACTTAAGAGATGCTTATTTCTCCAGTCCAGCGGCTCGATCGTCAGTTTCTCCAGTTTTCAGTGCGCGAGCTCCGGTGTGGGGAGCAAACCCTTTCTTATCAACAGATTTCCCAGTTTAACTGTCTACCGTTTGGCTTGCGCAGTGGTCCCAGAGGCCAGAGTCTTCACCAAGACTAGCTCTGCACCCTGTGGTGAAGATGGTACGTTCGCTCGGCCTCCACCTGGTGATTTACCTCGCCGACATATTTATCATGGCACGGACAGCGTCCGACCTGTTTCTCCCTGTTGCTACCATTCTTCATCTGCTGATTGGTCTTGGGTTCGACATCAACTGGATGCAGTCGTATCTGATTCCCACCAGGCAGATACAATACCTGGGTATTCAGGTCAACTCCGTCACCATGGAGTTCTCATTGCCAGACTCGAAAGCATCCATGCTTCAACAACAATGTGCGCGTCTGCTGGCGTCTCACACCGTATGTCTTCGGGGTATTGCGTCAATTGTGGGCATGATGGTGTCCACCATGGTTGCCGTGGTTCCTGCATCACTTAACTATCGTCGCTTGCAGTGTTTGAAGACCACGTTCCTACGGCAGGGTCCCTTTTACACTTACCGGCTTACTCTCAGTCATGAGTGCCATGCCGAGATTCATTAGTGGATTCGGCATCTCCAGCTGTGGAGTGGGCGACCTGTACGCCTTTCCGAACCGGGCCTCGCCATCCAGTCCGATGCATCCCATGCAGGTCATTCGGGGTGGGGCCCGGTGCATATTGTGCCAATGTCACCACAGGCGGCTGATGGACATCTGCCGAGAAGCAGCTTCACATGAATGTCCCGGAAGCGCTCACAGCCCAGTATGCTGTCCAGTCGCTAGCGCCTTCTCTATACCAGGGCAGTATTCTCCTGCAGCTCGACTACCGTGTGGCTGTTCCCTGTTTGCCCCGCACTGGCAGCCGTTCATCACCGACATTAGACAGGATAGCTGCCACGCTGTGGGAGTGGTGTCAGTCTGCTCAGAGATATCACTTTGATTCCCAATATCTACCTGGTGCAGTGATTACAGTTGCCGATTATCACTCTCGCCATCACACGGATACCAGCGCCTGGATGCTCAACCGGTCAGTTTTCCAGGTTCACCAGATCATGTGACCGAGTGCCTGCGACTTGTTTGCATCTCGCACTAAATTTCGACTGCACATGTACGTCAGTTGGCGCCCATATGCACACAGCCCGCATGCCTTCCGTCTCGACTGGTCCTGCCTGCAAGTCTATGCCTTCCCTCCAATCTATCTGATTGGCAAATGCCTGGCCAGGGTTGTTCTACAGGAAATCCCATCCATAGTCATGGTCACTCCGCTTTGGCCCGGCCAGGCTTGGTTTCCAGCTCTCTTGGCACTAGTGGTGGACATTCCGCGCGTGCTGTCAGCCTCTCCGGTCTTGTTTGCTGGACCAGATCACAAAGTTCACCCGTCAGTACAGTCAGCTCACTTCACCCTGGTCGCATGGAAACTCTCCGGGCTAGCAACAGCCGCAGCGGAGTTTCGGGCGACACTGCCACCCTACTCTTGGCGTCATGGCGTTCCCTCACCGACCGTGTGTATCAGTCGGCATGGAACACATGGTGTGATTGGTGTGCTACACGGCAAATTGATTCCCTGGGTGTTCTCTCCGAGGTCCTCGATTTTCTGACCTCCCAGTTCCGTCTGGCTCGACTGTATCATACGCTAGGGTTGTACCGGTCAGTCATGTCAATGACGCTTCCTCCCATCGATGGCGTTGTGGTTGGCCCGCATCCTCTGGTGTCTCATATGCTCCCCGGTGCATATCAATCCCGTCCTTCTCAGCCGTGCTATGGCAGCATGTGGCATGTACAGGCAGTCCTGGATTGGTTCCGGAACATGTCCTTCACACATGAGTCTCTCAAAGAACTGACTCTCAGGTTGACTATGCTGCTGGCTCTGACGGGTGCCCGGCGTTGCTCTGAGCTGCAGAAGCTCGATGTTCGTTTTATGGACATTATTGTCAACGCTGCTTCATTTGGGATCCCCACTTTTACCCAGAATCAGCGCGTCGGTGATCCAGTCAAGTAGTTTGTCTTCCCTGCTTGCCCTCAGCACCCTCCGTTGTGTGTGGATGCTCTAAGGCAGTATTCTGCTCGCACAGAGAGAGAGAGTTTCCCGCCCGCTGCCGCCGCGTCTGCCAACCCTCTGCTGCTGTCGCTCCGACGTCCTCACAAGCCGGTCTCACCGAGCACCGTTGCCGCTGAGGTGGCTCCTCACTTCCATGTCGGATGCTGGTGTGGACACCATCGTTTTTCTGATGGCACCACCTTCGGTGCGACTGTCCTTGGTTGACAGTCTGTTATTCCGCCGCTCATGATTGCGGCCGATAGGGTCCACGGCTTCAGTCCGCCGTGTTCTTTTCTCCTACATATTTGGGGTTTTCTCAGACCTTTTCCTTTCCAAAGGTCCTGTATATACCTGGTGCACCAGTTTTCCCAGGTGTTCCCACTCTGGAGTTTGCATTGTCCGTTAATTCTGCATAGTTGACAATGCTACGTTGCGTTCCATTTTGGTATGATCTACTCCACTCGCCGTTCCGTGCGTAAGTTTTATGATAATTCCATCTGTACTCAGTGATGGTCATTCGGTGGTCTGTGCCTGGCATAGTGTGGGCTGATTATGCTTGTTTATCATGCCACGCACCTTACTAGAACTTTCACTAAGTCCTTGTGTGGACAGTGTGATAGTTTCTTGTTTCCGCTCCGGGTGCGGAACCGACTTTAAACAAGACATAGTTATATCTCACCGGAAACTCCGACATGCAATTTCCCATTTCACAAGCAATGGAAAATTGTGTAGTGAAGTGGGAATTGTATAAGGAGTTGGAGGTGAGATATAACTATGTCCCACCCACCCACCCTGTTTGGGTTTGTTCTCCATGAAAATAGGCCTGAAGGGCCTTGGATGAGCTGCATCAAGTACAGCTTCATTAGAATATTGAACTTTAAAAAATTGCTGTGTTCGAGCATGAAATCGCGTAAATCGCGAGGGCTAGACATAGTTATATCTCACCTCCAACTCCTTATACAATTCCCACTTCACTACACAATTTTCCATTGCTTGTGAAATGGGAAATTCGCCACCAGTGGTAACCCCGCCCCCAGTAGCCAAATCAGTCAGTTTCACTGGCTACATCACCTTGCTGTGAGTAAGACGGCTTGAAATGTGCTTGGATCCATTGGAGCTATGCTGTGGCCAGTCGAGTCACTCAGGTACGCGCCGGGCGTTGCGGAACTTGCGCAGCCCTAGACCAGGTGCGTGGTCATTGTACATGTAGTGTAGATCTCTTGCATGCATGCATGCAGTCTTGGTCTTTTGAGAGTTTTGTATTTTGGCCCTGCCATGCCCCCTGCAGGGGGCATGGCCCTGCCCTGGCCTGGTGCCGGTTTTGCTACGCTGGATCCACACGACAGTCTACCACAGTAGTAATACTAGTATGGTACCAGTCCAGGCCAGGGTCTACAGCTAGTGACGTAGTGTAGTCTCCAGTGGGTAGCACCAGGGAGTCATGACTCATACTCATACTCATAGACCCTACGACTAGACTCCCTGGCCTGGGTAGCACCACTAGCCACTATGCTACCACTCACCAGGGCAGGATCTGCAGTAGGAGTGGAGTAGGACCACACAGTCTATGCACTGGCAGTGGCGTGCAGTGTGATTGCGCTTTGCGGGCTCTGCGCGCTATGCTGCAAGTAGGGGCTACACTACCTGACCATGATTCGCGCATGAATCCAGACTGGGTCTGTCTTTGTAGTTTACCATACTACTAGAGTAGATACTGATCCATAGTCTTTGTACAATGTATTAATATTATGTAGTTTACCATGGTTTACGCAGCGGAAAACCCCGATCCATCCAGGGCAAGGATTTGCGCGGAACAAACGAAGGTCTTCGTCTTCTACTGACTGTTCTTCCCCTCCTTTTGCCGTCTTTTTCAACACGATGGCGTTCCGTTGTGTTATGAACGGAGCAGTCTGAACGGCACCTATCATGCCGGGCCATGAGCATGGGGTTTCTGGACTGCCCTGTGGATCTACAATCTGCAGTGAAGTAAGTTAGTTCCTGCAAGAGACCAAACGAAGAACGCGTCAGTATTGTGAGATGCCAATGTGCTGTTCCTGGCTGTGTCGGCTCTTCTCGGCCAGGACTTGATCAACCCACCCAGCTGCCGCAGTGCGGTGTATGCACGTAGTCCCTGGAGCAGTGTCACTGCGTTTTCATCATCGCGCCCAACACAGCGTGGAGAGGAGAGAAAGACGCCAGGCGATTTAGCGCTCTTCTATCCGAGCGGCAGGAACATCGCACATGTCGGACATGGCGACCGTTTCCGCCTTCCGCCAGCCTAGGAAAAAGAAAGCGGAGAGGGATGGAGCGCTTCGGGCTAGGTAAGTAAATCTACGTTTTCTACCGGGATTGAGCTAGAGAGTGACTAGCCGTGGTACTGGTAGACGGTATAATTATACCTCCACGATGTAATCGTACATGACGACTACTGTGTGTGTGTCGTCCATACCAACAATGTCGAGAATATGTGGTTGCGTGCGAAGCGCCAGCTCAAACGCAACGCAACTTCGGCACGTCTCGCGAGTTGTTTCCACCCTACCTCTGCGAGTTCGTGTGGAGGCAAAGAGTTCGAGAGGAACGAAACACCTGCGCCTCCCTGCTCCGCAGTATTCATCAGCAGTACCCTGTCTGATCGGTTCTGATGAAAAAATCCATATCAACAGCTACTGTGTTTTTGATCTTGATTTGCAAATTTCTGGGGTTGACACGCTCTCACGTACACAGAAAGTACACAGAACACTGGGAAAGTGCGAAATGATTTGGGACCCTAAACTAGATGATTACCGAGTGTACTGCTTTCGCGTTCACCGACCCAGGCCGTACTGATTCCTTGTATACTGCCACGACTCAAGTTTGTGTGTTACTATGCTGTCTATGTTACAAACTATGTTGTAATCGTATCGTAATGCACCGTTTAGATATGCCAACCAAACCACATCCCGCCTGCTTTTCTGTGCTGCACTCGGATTCTGGGTAGGCACGCACACGGCATACATGTATGTGCATGTGCATGACCCGTAAGACACTGTTCCGCACTCCGCGATGAAACAAAAATGCACCTAAGTCCTTCCTATGGAGGGGGGGGGGGGGGGCTATCGAGGCAGTGGGGCAGTGGTCGATTGAAAACACACTCATGCGCTCCTAGATACAAAGCACTCTACAGAGCTCTTGCGAATCCTCGAACCCAGATAATGCTCCCTATCTGACAAGTGCTGGTCCCGTACTCGTATGATACGTCAAGCCATTTGCCTATCATGACATTTAACGCTATCAGTGGAATGCCTGGCTGTAAGTGTAACAAAAGAAGAATCCAGTGAAGTGCAAACGCTGAACTCACCAGCGAAGAAGGAGATTCACAGTAGCAATTTGGTGCGGTGCGCGAGAATTATTTGTGTGTGTGTGTACTATGGCGCATGCGCACCAGGCTACGATGCGCTGAGCGTCCATAGTGCGTGGGGACGGCCGAGTCCGAATTTCAATGCCCACGTTGTAAGGCACACGTGGTGCTAATAATGTGCTTATCGTTCTCCCGCCACACATACCTGGGTGCACTGGACTTGCAGGGCACCACCATCCACGGGCATCAGCAGGGAGGAACGTGCATGGGTGCACTCCGACGATCTGTTCCTCGACTACCTCAAGGCCCACTCTGCTGAGCCGGTGAGTCTTGTAGTCTGTATTGTACTGTCATGTATAGTGCTGAGCACCGTCTACACACTCGTATTGTTATGCCCTTTTTTAGAATATTGTGCCTAATGATGCTGATTGCCATAGCAGGATGACTGAGGATAGGTAACGTTAATAACCAGCAGGGCGATATCCAGCCCACACATATAGCCCACACAGATAGGGGGGGGGGGGGGGCATGTCTTGTTCTGCTCACGTACGCATTGCTAAATTAGCATTCTGCATTGTGCACTCTTGAACATGTCTGTGTACTCGTATGTGCACGCATGGGTCCGCATACACTCTCGTATCTGTACACGTTCATTTATCTGAAATCCTTTCCCTGTCTCGCTCACCCTCGACATACACCTCTAATGTTTGCCCCGCATACACCCACCTACTCTTGACTGCTCACACTTGAACATTCATCCATTTACACCCCCCCCCCCCCCCCCCCACACACACACACATGCACACATGTGCAGTGCTTCCAGCAGCTGGTCACATTCGAAGCTGGACTGGAGAAGGAGGTGAGCCTTGATATTGCCAGTCCAGAACGAGCATCTGCTGAATCTGTTTCGATGATTCGCTACATCAATGCAATAGTTCAGCATAAGCGAGGAGTGACCAAACGTAAGTCATGTGAACCTTCAGTGTAATGTATCTCAAAGGGACGTAAATTCAGTGCCGTATTTTCCTGAGTATAACCAGCACTTTGAACACTCAAGATTCACCCGAAAAAACTGGGGTGCGGTGTATACTCCGATGATCAAAATTATCGGTGATAAATACGATAGATGTCTGTATTTCGTGGCAACAAAATGAGAGTGCGGCTTATACTCCAGTGTGGCTTTTACTCCAGTGTGGCTTATACTCCAGTGTGGCTTATACTCCAGTGTGGCTTATACTCCAGGGTGGCTTATACTCCAGTGTGGCTTATACTCCAGTGTGGCTTATACTCCAGTGTGGCGTATACTCCAGTGTGGTTTTTACTCCAGTGTGGCTTATACTCCAGTGTGGCTTATACTCCAGTGTGGCTTATACTCCAGTGTGGCGTATACTCCAGTGTGGCGTATACTCCAGTGTGGTTTATACTCCAGTGTGGCTTATACTCCAGTGTGGCTTATACTCCAGTGTGGCTTATACTCCAGTGTGGCTTATACTCCAGTGTAGCTTATACTCCAGTGCGGCTTATACCCCAGTGCGGCTTATACTCCAGTGTGGCTTATACTCCAGTGTGGCTTATACTCCAGTGTGGCTTATACTCCAGTGTGGCTTATACTCCAGTGCGGCTTATACTCCAGTGTAGCTTATACTCCAGTGTGGCTTATACTCCAGTGTGGCTTATACTCCAGTGTGGCTTATACTCCAGTGTGGCTTATACTCCAGTGTGGCTTATACTCCAGTGTGGCTTATACTCCAGTGTGGCTTATACTCCAGTGTGGCTTATACTCCAGTGTGGCTTATACTCCAGTGTGGCTTATACTCCAGTGTGGCTTATACTCTAGTGTGGCTTATACCCCAGTGCGGCTTATACTACTACTACTAATAATAATAATAATAATAATGACAGTTTGCATATCACTCATTGCATGAGGTCAACGCATCTGTTAACAATTTCGAGCCAAGCAGCTCTATCAGAAGCAGATTGCACAGCATCCAGAAGCGACAGATTAATGCATTGTAAGTCTTTCTTGACAACGTCGATCCATCTCAGACGTGGTCGTCCTCGGGGTCGTCGTATGTCTGTTGTGTTGATTGACATTAGGAGGGCTTGGAAAGAGGACTTATACTACAGCGTGGCTTATAGTCCGGAAAACACGGTACTTTGCAGCAGAGGAAATATATACCGGTAATTATGCAAGTGTCGTAAAACACGTACTTTATATCTGAAGTACCATTATATCAACAAAAAAAGACTTGTATACAGTAACAGGAAGGACCAACATGCTACAAGTAACAGTTGAGCAAGGTAGCGAGATAATAATAGTGCGACAGCAAGGCACAAAACTGGCAGTGGTGGTATTCCTACGGATGCGGGAACACTAAGTCTGACGGAGTCTCATGTTAAGTGCAAATTGATTCAAAATGTAGGCAAAATGTAGGCAAAATGTCTCAAGTACGAATGCATTGTAAATTTGTAAGGGGCGGACATAAGAACCCCGCCTATCGCAAAAATCTGCCAACAAAAACGCTACGGGGGTTGTTGTTCTCTATAGTAAGATGAAAGGTCCGATACCGCTATACGTCTATGATACCTTCAATAACCCCGCAGTAGCATACAATACGAGTGTAAATCCCCCCCCCCCCCCGTACACTAAGTATTCGAATGGTTAGTCCGGGAATGGAGCCTTTATTGCTTCTTGCTCCGCGTGCACGTGTGGTTTGACAAGATGCGGTTGTATGGGTGCGCGTTTGGGCATGTGCGTGTGCGTGTGTGTGTGTGTGTGTGTGTGTGTGTGTGTGTGCTTGCTTGCTTGCGTGCGTGTGAATGGGTGCACTTGTGAATGTTCTTACGTTCTGCATGTGCACGACGGTTGCTTATGTAGCTGCCCCTAGCCTCAAGGAAGTGGTCAGCTTGACTCTAGAAGAATGGCTGATCAAGAACCGGATAACTTGGTTTATCAAGTAAGTTTGCATCACCAACTTGCATAGTATGTAAAAGAGCCGAGTTGGTACAATATAGGTTGATACTTCCAAGGGATAGTTTGACTTGATGATGGAAAGGAACCTGCTATGTGCACGTACAGTAGAACCTGTCAAGGCAACAACTTGGATAAGGCGACCACCTGTTCTAGAAGACCACTGAAACCAGGACCAAGGGAATCTATTGCCAGTGAAATAACCCTGGATAAGGAGACCACCTGGTAACAGAGACCACATTTTGACGGTTCCTTGAGCGGTCGTCTTGGACAGGTTCCACTGTAGTTATAATTATTACGTCACAGTCTGTGAAGGTGAACAATACTGTGAATGGGTGCACTTGTGAATGTGTTTTTGTGGTTCAAAGATTCAAAAGTTCAACCCAAGTGACAGGAATGCTGTAAAAGTTGTCGTCTGCAGGTACGGTGACCAGGTGACTGGTGTACTCATGAGCACGTGACCGCTTACTCACCCGTGTTCGATTGGGAATAAGGGCTGAGCGATGCATCGCAGCCTTTGCGGACAAAAGCCAGTCGACTCAGCGTTCAAAAGACTACACCATATGAACCAATCGCGGTCATCCGTGCTTTTATAAGAACGGTACACTTCCCCTTTAAGCATGGCGGTGGTCAAACCCTGTGTCATACCGTGCAATTCACAACAAATTCCCAGAGCTGTTATTTCCCTTGCATCTTCACATTTGTTTGCCCTGGCAGATCCCGCTTCCGCTCGGAGATGGAGCTGTGTCGGCTGATGCGTCTTTGTACACCTCTCATTTCCCGGGTCATTGCGAGTAACTGGAATGCGCTTGATGCCCAGCTGTATCTAATCGACGCTGTCCTGGGAAGCTCGCCGAAAAGGCGCTACCCTTCGCCCATGGCTGGCACCGATGGGGCAACGTCACCCTCGAACTACCCCGGTGAATTTGACGTGCTGGGTCTGAGTTCTCTGGACGGTGACGAAGAGTTCCGCTGGTTTAGCCGAAATGACGGCGGTGCTGCCACCTCGTCAGTTGGAGCCAGGGAACGCAGAACCGGCGGTGCAAGCAATCCTTCGGCTGCGTCAGGTCGAGCATCCACAGGACACGGCAGCAATGCTCGGTCACGTCCCGGAGCGTCAGGCGTTCCAGCATCGTCAAAGCTAGTTGTGGACAATGACGGTAATGTTCAGGAAGAGGATGAATATATCAGTGATGCGGAAGATCTGGATATCTCTCTAATTGATGCTGACGATCACCCGAGCTCTCAGTATGCACTTGTTCCAGAGGTTGAATATGGTGATAGCCCGCTATCGCAAATACCGGGTATGTCTCCTGGTATTTCAGATGAAGACCGAACACAAGTACAGTCTCCATCATCACCAGAGAGCATACGACAGGATCGGAAATCAAAGTCTGAGTCTCCGCAGCATGTTAGTTTCCCATCTTCCAGGCGATCGGCAAACCGGACACCATCAACGCCAGTGGTACACCAAGGCGAAGCGAGTTCACACGACAGTCCCCGTGATGCATCTCGAGCTTCAACGCAGTCCCGCGACACTCTTCAAGCGCCGCTTGCTTCGCCAGGGCAATCTGCGGAGCACGGAGAGGGCGCTCCTCAGCACGCTCCTCCGCCATCAGGCCCCGTCAGCTCAGCAGATTGGGTTGTTGATGACGGGCGGACGACACAGGTTACCATGTTTGATGGTATTGGGCATGACCAGCAGGGTGGCGCGCAGTCCTCCGCTTCTACCGAACTGCAGGACACAGAACCTCCCACATGGTCACATTCACGATGCTCATCGTGCGAAGAGTCGCTAGACCTGCCCAACCCACCACAGACATCAAGCGATCTTAGACGATACATCCTCCGCTTGGCATCACCTGACTCGATCTCGTCGGCAACGACAAGCGATAGCAGTTATCGACAGTATGATAACGTTATTGAAGAAAGTTGCTCTTCTGCTGAACCAATGGACCACAACCAACAGCAGGGAGGCACAGAGTCCCTCCGTGCAAGTGCAGGGGAACAGCGGTGCCAGTCTGTTTCATCCACAGAGCGACGTTCATGGAAATCACGACGTTCCAGAAGTGCTCCGGATGTTAGCACAAGGACTGCGGATAGCAGCTTAGATCGACAGCGTTCGGCAAAGCAGCATCGGCGAAAACGACCGGCATCCGCACCCTCTTTGAATAGACCACACCGATCAGGCAGCAATAAGCTCTCTCTATCCACCGTTGATGAGGAAGTCCGAGATGGCGCCAGCACACGTGATGATTCTGATGCTTCTGCTTCTGCTTCCGTGGACTTTTCTGGAGTTGTTGGAGGCATCGGTGATGCAGGTTCTCTTAGGGATCCTAGCGTTGCTGAAAAACTAGGTGTGGATGTAGTCGACAGTCTTTATGCCAGTTCCAGTGGTGGTGACACTGTGTCCGTTGTCACTGCTGATTCTGCTGATACTGCTGAGGATGCTGGGACTGCCGTCAGCGGTAATCATGGTGGTGATCATGGCAGTGATGGTGATGGTGATGGTGGTGGTGGTGATCATGGTCCTACTGCCCGAGACACCGCAGATTCTGGCCCAGGCGCTCGACCAGCCGGCAGAAGTCGCGCAAACTCCAACCCCAATATGGACGCTTCTGGCGGCGTTGCGACCGGTAGCGGATCTCGAGCCGGTAGCGCACAGCAAAGTGGCGGCTCGGCACCAGAGGACTCCTATCACATGCGACTGGCCAAGTTTGAAGCCATGGCTCGTCCACAACAGACTGGTCTGCTGGATATCAGCACCAAGATCAACAAAACAGGTACGTAGCGTAGTACTAATAGTGCAGTAGAGCCTGTCGTCACCTTCATCTTCTATTGAGGGTCTAGCCTCCAATTGGTTAGATGAGAAGGCAGAAAAACCTGTGTACTACTATCTGGCGAAGAAAAATGAAGAAATATAAACAAACGAACACTTCTAGCAATGGACTGAAGCAAGTTTGGATGGTGATGCCGGGGGAGGGGGGGGGGGGGTGTTTCCATAAGCTATCTAAACCACTTGCGTGCATGCATGTGTCTGTCCAAATGTGCGTACGTGTATCTCGCCATCTCTTCACAACGCGTTTAATCTCTCTTTATCTTAGCCGCCGGTTGATCTGCTGGTAAACCTGTATCTGACTCGCACCCCATTCCTTGCTTTTCTTTACTTTTTTGCCGTGCTGCACTGTGCGCCTGTCGGTCTCTCTCTCTGGTGTATCAGCGGGAAGAAAGCATGAATTTGTCAACACATAAGTGCGAGTGCATGGCTGTATTCCGTATTGCTTCTGTTGTGCCATGCAGCTAACTCCTATTGTGTTTTTCCTTCTGTCAATATGTCTCTTTGCCTGTCTTTGCCTCTCCGTTCCCACTCCGCATCACATCATGTATATCCAGGAGACGAGAGACCGGTCAAGTCACCTATTGACGGCCTAATGACGGAGGACGACTGGAACAAAAGCGACGATGATCTCTACGATGGCGACCTGTTTAGCATGACATTCAGCGATGCAATCTACTCGGACACGTATGAGATGATGTGGGATCTCTTCGGCAAGGTACGCTCACAGTACCTAGATATCATGCACATCCGGGTGTCTGAACGAGTGGAAAGTTTGACGAGTTAAAAGTGTAATGATTTGCAAATGTACATGCGTGATTTGTACTTACGCGCGCGTGTGTATGTGTGTGTGTGTGTGTTTGTGTGTGTGTGTTTTTGTGTGTTTGCGTACATGTACATGTACGTGTGTGTGTGTGTGATTTGGGTGGATATGACTCACTTTGCAGAGAGAAGGCATGTTGCTGTTTGAACGGTTCCTGCTGCGCACACGTGGCTCTCACCTCATACCACTGTGGGTGGACATACGCGATGCCATCATCAGTGCAGCACACACACCCGGCAACAACGAGTTCAAGCGAGCAACTGCTCACAGAAGTGTCAGGTAGGTTAGCGGTAACTTCCCGTCTGTTTGGGAAAAGAAACTTGTTATGTGTGCATCAGTGGTCTACAGTACGGCGGGGGGGGGTAAGCAGTCAGCATCCCAGCTTAGACCGTTCTTATTTTCATATAATACCGTCTATGCACAGTTGAGTCACCTGACCGTGTATACATCGGTAACGTTATGCTGTGCTTGATGAAATTCTAGTCTGGTCTTTCTCAGGCGATGCTTTCTTCGGCGCCCCACAGCTAGCACTGTGTGTAGCTATCCAGCAGTGCATTGTGGTGTTATGAAGTCGTTCATGTGCTGTACCCAAATTGTGATACATGCCATGCAACTTGGCGGTGCTCTTTCTCTCCGTTTTCGATGCTCCCGTGCAGCAAGCTTCTGCCAAAGTACGTTGGACTGGTTCCAGTGCCACTTCAGGTGAGAGTTGGCAGAGCTGGGCTAGACTATCCTTACGGAGCTTGTAAACGTTTGGCGGCTGTACCTTACCAAACAAAATGTACTTGGCTTCTCATACCCCCCCCCCCCCCACACACACACATATACATTTACCATTTTTTCGTGATAACCTACGATGTACCCAAGATAATAAACAGGCAACGTGTGCAATGTGTGAGTATTGGAAGGTGAACATGCATTCCAATGTGTCTCTGATGACTCGGATGGAGAGCCAAGGGAAGAATTTAATTCTAGGAAAGAAAAAGGACCAAGGAACTACATGTCACGGCAGTTGTAGAACGTCAGTACCGTCGGTCAGTGTCGTGCAATGTTATCGCATGAGCTGATTGTCAAGTAACTGGTGGTGTTAGTGGACATTATAGCTAGTAGTGTGCACGGGTAGTCGGGTACCCGTGCTACCCGTGAGGACCTCGGGTAGTCGGGTACCGAATAGTACCCGAAAACCCGAGGTCGCAGATGACATCATGTACAGTGCATGTGTACAAATAATTCACGCATGTCTACCCAATGCGCAAGGGAAGGGGCCGGTGTGCATTGTGGTCTTACCATGGAAACATTACCCGATCGGGTACCCGTGCTACCCGTGGAAAACTACCCGGACCCGATACCCGTAGAAAATGCTACCCGACTCAGCCCTAATTATAGCATTACTTGTCATTCCTTGGTCCTTTTTCATTCCTATGTGTCTCTTTTGTCTCGATATGCACGTGCCCAGAAATATGTCCAACTAGCGTGCAGTGGCAGCAGCAAGATCAGCTTGGCACGTGTCTGCCAGGGTATACTGGTGCGTCTGCAGAGCTACTGGTGTCCACGCTTTGTCGTCGACTTGCTGCGCAAAGATCAGGATAAGAAATGGTACGTTACAGCAAGGCTGCGGACTAGTGTGAGCATGACAGTTGTAGTGGGTGGCTGAGCAAGGCTTGGTAATGGAACCTTGCTTGGCAGGCACGCCCTGACGTAACCCTATCCAACTGCATATACACAGGGGCGTACGGCAGAACCAGTCCAGTTGGTCAGGTCATGGCCACCAACAGGTGTTCACTGCTGAGGGGATCATGTGCACCCGCCATATACACGAAAATATGGACGGCTATGGTATGACCGAACCAATCAAAAACTGCGTCTCCTGGTCCTGAATTCCAGCATGCATTGTTCAACCCCTATGATTTCCGATCATACTCTCGAACGCTCACTGCAATCTGCACAACTTCCCTGCACGGGGCAAACATACCGGCCCTCGCAGTGCCCGTGACCAAGGAGCTCTGCACTGCACGGTTTCCTTACTGCAATAGGTGTTGTCTTGTCCGTAATTGCAGGCCGTGGCCGGAACCAGTTCTGTTGGTCGAGCTATGGCCGGACCAACTTTTTGGTCACCAACGTGTGTTTACTGCTGAAGAGGTCATGTGTACACCGTGGTTCCCTGAATATAAGTCGCACCTTTTTACACGAAGCTTCAAGGACAAAGAAGGGGATGCGACTTAAAATCGAGAGTGACATCCTACAGAATATTATACGCATGCATTGAAACAACGTAGTTCAAACCTCAAAGGCGCGTTACAATCGGGGAAATACGGTACCCTCCATATCGTACAGAAAACTTGAGTATGGCGGGACCAGTCAAATCTGCTTCCGCCGGTCCTGAGTTGTCCGTATTTGGTGATGTCTTGTCCGTATTTGGTGATGTATTGTTCGTGTTTGGTGATGTCTTTTCCGTATTTGGTGATGTCTTGTCCGTATTTGGTGATGTTTTGTCCGTAATTGGCGACTGTACTGTTTGTATCGCCCGCTGCAGGGGTGAGTACCTGACAAATGCGTTAGTGAAAGGCAAGCCGAAAGTCATACTGCCACGGCTGGCTCCCAGAGTCTATTCCCTGCACACTGCACGCCCAGTCAGCAACACAATAAGGTACACTGGTGTGCTTATGCATGTCTCTCTTAGTGACAGAATAATGTTAGCAGCCCGGAACCGTCCATCTCACTCCATAATTATTGAATATGTTGCATGTGTCTGCTCCAGAGCCGGGTCAGCCAGGTCAGCGACCCGGTTGGTGGGTACTTGGACCCGTTTGAAAACAGAACACCGTGTCACTCGTGACCCGTTTGGGAGGATACATGATAGTCATGTCGATGACCTTCTCTGTTCTTCAAGGGAGTACAGACTGATCTGTGTGTGACAGGCTGAAGGCGTGTACCCGGCTCTGACCCGGCTCTGACCCAGTTGCAAGACTTGTGTCAGGTACTGGTGTCCGGTACTGGTGTACCCGGTTGTTTTGAAATCCTAGAGCAGACTCTGTGGCCACACACATATATGCAGCATTCTGTAGAATGTGTCCCTGCATCGGATTTCAATGGCTTGCAATGACGACTCAGGGGGCCCCTTTTCCTTGGGCTCCAATCCCTTTCCAGACGCTATACGAAGTTGCAGCATTTTCATTACCGTACTGCAATGCAAGTGTGACAACCCCAAATTATGTGCAACTTCACTTTTCATGCGGGAAACATGCCGCAATGCGCATCACGGAGGATGGTTGACTTCAACTTCACCTTGGCTTGCTTCATCACCTTGGCTTGCTTCATCACGTGACCACATTTCACTGTGAAAAACACATGTTCATGCTACGCTGTACACGAAATGAAGTCTGAATTGGTATTGAGCTATTGACACACCGCATACCCTTCAAAAATACGACATCAGTGTCAGCGTGGAGTCCATTTGCTGGCGCTGATGCAGCAGAGCTCGGTGTTCAAATGTCATGTGATGCTGTTTGTACAGGTTTGAGAATCTGGACGCTAACGCTGACTGTAATGTGACCAGCCACATGCTGCTTCCATCTGTAGTGGATGCACATCATCCCACTGTTTGTCATTGTATCCTTGTATGTGTCATGTATGCGTTCATCCGGCCGCGCTGTACGGCATGCCAGCTGCACCTCCCCACTGGCATTGTGTCCGCTTTCTGGTGTACAAATGTGACTTTTCCGTTGCCATGTTACTGCGTTTTGTGTTTTGTTTAACCCTGTGCCAGGATTCCCAGAGAAAACCCAGGCTTGCAGGCCGGGCTAGACGCGGATCAAATATGCGGACGTCCATTCCTGAACTATATCAACGAGTGAGTAGGTTATAAAAGGATCTTGTTGTATGAGTGGCAGCATGGAGAGGGAAGGGACGGGGGGGGGGGGGGGGAGTTGAGAGAGCTGAACCTCACCACCTCCCTCCCTCCCCCCCCCCCCATCTCCCGAAACACATCTCACTGAATCTGTCTCGAACTGCCTGGTCTTCGTACTTTCAAATTGTAAAAAAACTCAGTCCATCTAAACCTGCACTGGAATGTGGAGATCTGCACTATGCATGCACTCGGGCAATGACCCTGATGCCCGGCACCTGGTCGTTGCATAGCTGATGATACCTGCCATACGGTGATAGTATGTCACTTAGTGCTTGATGCGTACAGGAAAACGTGTGAGTAGCGACCACCCCTTGGGGCCAGAGAAAGTGGTCTTTAGTGGCAGGTGGTCCTTAGTTAGAGGTTTTCTCCGCACGGCCACGAATGTGAGACCGTCCGTGCCTGGCAAAGTGGTCTGTAGTACCAGTCTGGTCGCTCGTCACGGTGGTCTGTAGTACCATGCTGGTTGCTAGTCACGGTGGTGTGTAGTACCATGCTGGTTGCTAGTCACGGTGGTGTGTAGTACCATGCTGGTTGCTAGTCACGGTGGTGTGTAGTACCAGGCTGGTTGCTAGTCACGGTGGTGTGTAGTACCATGCTGGTTGCTAGTCACGGTGGTGTGTAGTACCATGCTGGTTGCTAGTCACGGTGGTGTGTAGTACCATGCTGGTTGCTAGTCACGGTGGTGTGTAGTACCAGGCTGGTTGCTAGTCACGGTGGTGTGTAGTACCATGCTGGTTGCTAGTCACGGTGGTGTGTAGTACCATGCTGGTTGCTAGTCACTGTGGTGTGTAGTACCATGCTGGTTGCTAGTCACGGTGGTGTGTAGTACCATGCTGGTTGCTAGTCACGGTGGTGTGTAGTACCATGCTGGTTGCTAGTCACGGTGGTGTGTAGTACCATGCTGGTTGCTAGTCACGGTGGTGTGTAGTACCAGGCTGGTTGCTAGTCACGGTGGTGTGTAGTACCAGGTTTTACTGTAGTTTGTGGTAACTTAGTACGCTACGTCCCCACTGGACTCATCAGCTCTTCACCAGATTGTACCTCTGCTGCTCAGGTAGCATGCATGAGAAGGCATGTATTTAGCTCCATTACTCTACCATGCACATACAGCTTAGATGCACCGACATCGGCGGTCATCTTACGACGAAGTCCATTGCTCCTACTTTTGAAGTACGCAGATCTCACGCCTATCCGGCAGACAGTGTGTAATAGCAACGTAAAGGGACTGACTTCATCATTCACATGCCGTTTAGACTAGTGTGTGGCGGGATGAGTACCATTGTGTGCTTTGTCTGCAGACTTCCTGTACTGTCGGTATCAGTACTGAAATGGCCACGCTTGTTGGGAATCACCCGAAGACTCTAGTCAATGTGTCTATCATTTTGCATCTGATAAACTATTTCTAATTTTTGTTGCTTCAGGAAAGCAAACGTCGCCAACAGACGACACATACAGTCGTGTTACTTCTTCCTGGTGTCGCTGTGGGCTATTGATAACAGTACGATTATGGCAACTAACTTGATCAAACCACAGATGTGTGCACTCTACAACACGTTCATTGGCTCAGGTTAGTCATCCGCCGTGCAGCATTTAGGAATCCCAGTGCCCGGTGTCCGCTTGCTGAATCGTGTCGTTTTGAAGAAGACCATTTTCCTCCACCCGTCACCACCATGCACTCTTAGCCGAACCAATGCAAGAAGTCCTCGCTGTGCTGGTGTGTTTATGCTTCGTGCATTGGTTCGGCTATGAGCGCAGGGTGGTGACGGGTGGAGGAAGTAGTACAGTGGTCTATGGCCGAAAGCTCTGTAACAATACTTTATTCTGAAGAAGACCAATAAGTTTTAGTGGAAACGTCTTAAGCATTCGTCAGCGTAACATCTGGCACCTGTTGCTATGGCCATGTATCTAATAGCTGGACCTTTGCCGGGTGTCGTCTCATCATGTGGAGTATCAAGCCCTTGTATGATGCTGATTTTCCTGTCTCTCTGTCTGTCTTTCTTTCTGTTTCTCAGTCTGCCCGTGAGTTTGTGTCTGTATGTCTGTTGGTTTCTCTCACGCAGCCGCTCTCTTTCTCACCCCGTCCTTCTCTTTCATTTCTCTTCAATAGCTTTGCAAGGAGATCCATGCGAGTGCATATCGAGTGTGCATGACATGTGCGACATGTGCATGTCGACAACGTGTCTGAGTTCCTTACTGCAAAATACTGCTCAATATTCTAACAAGAGCAGAGCTTACTACACAGGGCAAAACATCAGGGACCAATGTCTTTCTCGTGACTCTGAGTTTCGTGATTAAATAAAAAAAACCACTCATGGCCTCTGTTGCTCTGCCTTGTGTTAGTGCATATCGAGTGTACGTGACATTGTCAACAGTATTCCACACTCCTCGATCTATGCTCCAGGGTCACCATCACCTATCGGCCTGTGTGAAGGCGACGTTGAGGAAGTGAAGGAGGCACTGAAGCAGAAACGCTCCATTCCAAGCATGAAGATCTTCCTCATTCCACAAGTAAGCTCTGTGCAAGCTGCTGCCTAATTTGCCGTTGTCTGGTTCTCGTGTGCTCTGTACTGCTCTTTTGTCTGGTTCCATTGTGTTCTATGCTGCTTGTGTACTGGTCACTATGCAGGCATTTGCGCAAACATGCCTGGACGAGGTCTGGGAAGACTTCAAGCACGATCAAGTCTGCCATTTTGAGAAGTGAGTGTCAATTCAGCATGGCTACATATGCTGCGTGTCACAAGGGACTCGTCCTCTGTGTTGTGTTTGGAGTGCGACCGTGGTTGCTATAGTGACTACTGTATTTCCCGGATTATAAGTCGCACTCGATTATAAGTCGCACCCCCATTTTCAGGTTTGAGCCGAATTGATTTGATATACTGACGTCGATAGTAAGTCATGTTTGATTGTAAATCGCACCCACTTTTTTCCCTTGGATTTTACTATCATAATTTTTAGTGTACAAAGGTGCGACTAATATTCGGGGAAATACGATACCCACTTACCGTCATAAGCCGATGCACCAACAGCCTATTTCAGCAACACCGGGTAGAGCCATTCATCGGTCATGGCACACTAATACCTCTCCAGAAGCCCGGAAAGCCGGTGGGTGCTTTAACCAGTCTGCGACCGATCATCCTCCTGACAACTCTACGCAAAGTCATGTCGCTGGTAGTCCTCAAGCGCATCTCGCCAGCCGTAAACGATTTCCTATCACTGAACCAAAGTGGTTTTCGTGCAGGAAGGTCAACAGCTGATGTGGTCTGGTGCCATCGGTGGTTAGCAGCTACGACCCAGCGGTACCACTGGTCATTCAGCATACTGGGCATCGACATGTCACGTGCCTTTGACACGATCAGGCGAGGACAGTTGATGGACGTGGTTCAGCGATTCTTGGAAGAAGACGAGGTACGCTTGATCCGTTACCTGATCTCAGATACGAATTTGGCAGTCAGACTGGGCACGGAAACATCAAGCTCTTTCTCCACTAACATTGGTACCCCGCAAGGCGACTCCTTGTCGCCAATTCTATTCGTGATCTACCTGGAAGCTGCCCTGCAGGATGTGCGACAGCGAATGGCTGCGCCTGTGGCCCGGCATCTTCCGTACGATGTGGAGTACGCCGATGATGTGGACTTCATCAGTATCTCTAGTGATTGGCTTCGGATGTTAGAGCCACAAGTTGCCACCATCTTGGGTACATGGTCCCTTACCGTCAACCAGACCAAGACAGAATTCACAGCCATCCAGCGAGAGGCCGATCGTGCTGATGAGCCATGGCGTATGGTCAAGAAACTCGGCTCTCTCCTTGGTGATGCAGAGGATGTCACCCGCAGAAAGCAGCTTGCGGCGATAGCGTTTAAGTCCCTCTGCCAGTTATGGAAGAGAAGAGACCAAGTGAGTCTGGAGGTGCGCGTCCGGCTGTATAACTGCTTCGTGTTACCTGTCTTGCTTTACAACTGCTCCACATGGGGCATCACTCGACAGACAATTGAAGCGCTGGAATCGTATCATCGGCGGCAACTTCGGCATATCTTGGGTATCAGGTGGCCCAACCGACTGTCGAACGATTTGGTTTACGAGCGCTGCAGTGCTGCTCCACTTGGCAACATTCTGGTGAATGCAAGATGGCGGTTGTTTGGCCACATCCTGCGATCAGATGAGCACACACTGGCTAGGGAGGCCATGAGTGGATTCTTTGGCTGCTCCGTGCCGGGATACCGTGGGCGGCCGCGGATCACGCTACCGGTCCTGCTGAATCAAGACGCGGAGCGAGTCGGCTGCCGTCTGAGGACTCCAAGGGACTTGCAGCTGATGGCTCAGCGAGCACTGGATCGCCGTGAATGGACATATCTGTGCAACGCAGTTACAGATGCGTACAAGGCAGAGTACTGGTGAAGGAAGTTGGCACTGCAATGGTTTGAGCTACATTCTTTGTTGTTGGTACTCTGATTATCCGTATTATCCGTATTCACATGGCCTTTGCCATTCATTCAGTATATTAATGTCATCAATAATGATATTCTTGTTTGTATTAGTTTATGTGACACCATTTTCTATTTTTCTTTGCCTGCCTGCCTGCTGGCGGCCTTTTTTTCGCATGGTTCGGTGCAAGCGAATTTGGGCGAGCCCATTGACGCGGGAGCACAAATAATAATAATAATACTTACCGTATATTCTCTATTATAAGCACAGGTCTCCATTACTAGCACAGTCTCTAATACTAGCACACTGTGAGCACCTTTCGAAACATTATAAGCACAGTCTCTATTATTAGCACGGTCTTGGTGGAAATCAATGCTGCATGCATGATATCCAGCATGTATTTCTTCTTCCTCTCTATGGATGTATTGGTTGAAAAAATATAAGCACGGTAGGAGTGAAAGTTGGCATTGAGATCCCGAGTTCGAGTACTCTGATTTTCTCCGATCGAATATTCGAGTATTCGAGTATTCTTCATCTCCTAAAAATTGCACACCGAGGGCCTTAAAATCACATGATACAACCCTGATTGAACCGAGTGGCGGTCATTTTTCTCTGGTGTATTGATTGGTGGGTCATTTAGGCTCTCTCTACTCGTGAACAAATGTTCACCACACCGTCTGTACATCAATATCTGCCGACTGCTGCTCTGAAACTGCAGATTTCCGTGGTAAATGCATGTACCATGTATGAACGAGTACTGTGATTTATTCCGAGTACGATTATTCCTGAAAAACCGAGCGAGTACTCGAGGATTCGGTATAATTGTTTCACCCCTAGAGCACGGTCTCCAATATAAGCGCGGTCTCCAATACAAGCACGGGGTTGAGGGGTGTGGAAAAAATATAAGCACGGCGCTTATAATAGAGAATATACGGTACCTTCCTGTGCTTGTCGACAAGTGGAGATCTGTTCTGGCTCCTTTGTGCTTTCCAGCATGATGTACCGCTGGGTTTGCCAGATTATGAAGTGCGCCAGGGAAAAAAAAATCATGTGTGTACGTGCACTTGTGCATATATGTTTATGCATGTGTGTGCATATGCACTTCAATGTGCCTGTGTGTTCCTCTGTGTGTGTGTGTGCGTGCGTGCGTGCGTGCGTGCGTGTGTGTGTTGCAAGTGCAGCATGGTTCTTCCGCTGGTCTTGCATCATTTCCCTCTCAATCCCAAAAGGTAAGACAGTGTTTATTACCAACTGCTGGTCTTTTTGGCGGGCGTACGTGTGTGTGTGTGTGTGTGTGTGTGTGTGTGTGTGTGTGTGTGTGTGTGTGTGTGTGTGTGTGTGTGTGTGTATGTGTATGTGTCCCAAATGGTGCAGTGGTATGTGCAGTCGATTTCCAATCGAGAGGTTGCGGGTTCAATTCCCGACGATTATGGTCGCACACGTCTTTCTTCTCTTTCTCGGACTCTTCCTGACTTTTCTTTCATTCTCCTGGGTGGTTACCAACAGCCAGTGTATGCCGGAGTATGTGGTGTGGTGTGTGTGTGTAGAAAAAAAATGGAAAATTGAAAAAGTAGGGATTCAATGGCCAGAAAAAGTCACTTCAAACAGCTGTGTGGTGGATACCAGGCTAAAAATAGTGGCGTCAAATTCATCAACCTTGCAAGCTGTTGAATGGTGTAATCCCAGCACAAGTTGCTATGTCTAACATAGCTGTTCGCTATCATCGCTTCCGCGATGGGCATGTCTGAGGTCTGAGGTGTGTGTGTATGTGTGTGTGTGTGGTGTGTGTATGTGCGTGTGTATGTGCGTGTGTATGTGTGTGTATGTGTGTGTATGTGTGTGTATGTGTGTGTATGTGTGTGTATGTGTGTGTATGTGTGTGTATGTGTGTGTATGTGTGTGTATGTGTGTGTGCAGTTTGTATGTTTTAAAGCGCACCTGGTATGCCCAAAAACGTGCAGTGTTCTTCGGCACATGCATCATGTGTTACATTCCAAGTTTGTCTACATGTCGTGTTTTTGCAGCGCAAAACCGCCAAGACGTGTTGCAAGAGGTTTCCAGAGGGCGGCTGCCAAGGCGGATAGGAACAGAGTGCCCGTGCGGAAACCCAAGGAGACGGCTCAGAAACCGGTCAAGAAGACGACCAGGCGGCTCACACTTGCCACCGTGGCGCGAGATGAAAAGTAAGTGCTGCCACCACATTCTCCTGGCGGCCATTGGCTGCTAAGGTGGAGCGAAGCTAATGATGCTAGGTCCGGCAGTGCTGTAAAACTGCGCATCCGTGTTACAACCAAGTTTGCGAGTAATTATGCTGTACTGGCCTAAAGAGAAAGCTTGTTCTTAGGTCACCTTTACATTGACCGTTTGCTGTGGAGCATGCAGTTGTAATCCGAGTTAGATTTTTTTACTTCAGAGTTAGATTATATTTACGTCACCAGATATACAGATATTCTGCCTTCTCGATTGATTCCACGGCCAGGCCCAGAGTCTTGCTATGTGCGTGTGACTACAGTCAGACCTCGCTTATCCGGTCCTCTTTTATCCGGATCGCTCGCCATCCGGAAGAAAAATTGCTGGTTACCGATTTTCAGCATGTGTCATGCATACTTACGGTATGTGTGTTTGATTGGCCGGTTTTCTCACCTATCCGGATATTTTGTGGAAAACGGATGTGTGCGGTTAAGTGATGTCTGACTGTAGTCACAGACATTGAACTTCATAGCGACTGCCGTTGCATGGATGGTGTATGGGTTTCCCACATTGGCCAGTTGTAAGGTGGGATAGATTGTGGCTAGCAATAACACATCACTCCGTGTGCCTCTTCTATATTCTTTTAAATGCTTGTGCTCAGATTGGCTGCCGAGTTCCACGACTACCTCCTGGACACGGGCAACGCACAGTGCTTAGACTATCTTCTCCTGGACCAGTTTCTGGTCGAGCTCATGGCCATTGACGGCGAGGCCAAACCGGAGAAGTTCCAAGCTGCCGCCAGCAACATACAAAGGTTGATAGTTTGTACAGTTCTGTTGCTATGGCGATGCTTGTCGTCATGTTTATTGCAGTGTACAGTAAAACCTGTGACTAAGGACCACCCGGCCCTTGGGGCCAGAGAAAGCGGTCTTTAGTGGCAGGTGATCCTTAGTTGGAGGTTTGCAAACCCACAACCATAATTGAATGTGGGACCGTCCGTGCCTGACGAAGTGGACTGTAGTACCAGGCTGGTCGCTAGTCACAGTGGTCTGTAGTAGCAGGCTGGTCGCTAGTCACGGTGGTCTGTAGTAGCAGGCTGGTCGCTAGTCACGGTGGTCTGTAGTAGCAGGCTGGTCGCTAGTCACAGTGGTCTGTAGTAGCAGGCTGGTCACTAGTCACAGTGGTCTGTAGTACCAGGCTGGTCACTAGTCACAGTGGTCTGTAGTAGCAGGCTGGTCGCTAGTCACAGTGGTCTGTAGTACCAGGCTGGTCACTAGTCACGGTGGTCTGTAGTAGCAGGCTGGTCACTAGTCACAGTGGTCTGTAGTAGCAGGCTGGTCACTAGTCACAGTGGTCTGTAGTACCAGGCTGGTCACTAGTCACAGTGGTCTGTGGTACCAGGCTGGTCACTAGTCACGGTGGTCTGTAGTAGCAGGCTGGTCACTAGTCACAGTGGTCTGTAGTAGCAGGCTGGTCACTAGTCACAGTGGTCTGTAGTAGCAGGCTGGTCACTAGTCACAGTGGTCTGTAGTACCAGGCTGGTCACTAGTCACAGTGGTCTGTAGTAGCAGGCTGGTCGCTAGTCACAGTGGTCTGTAGTAGCAGGCTGGTCACTAGTCACAGTGGTCTGTAGTAGCAGGCTGGTCGCTAGTCACAGTGGTCTGTAGTAGCAGGCTGGTCACTAGTCACGGTGGTCTGTAGTAGCAGGCTGGTCACTAGTCACAGTGGTCTGTGGTACCAGGCTGGTCACTAGTCACGGTGGTCTGTAGTAGCAGGCTGGTCACTAGTCACAGTGGTCTGTAGTACCAGGCTGGTCACTAGTCACGGTGATCTGTAGTAGCAGGCTGGTCACTAGTCACAGTGGTCTGTAGTAGCAGGCTGGTCACTAGTCACAGTGGTCTGTAGTAGCAGGCTGGTCACTAGTCACAGTGGTCTGTAGTAGCAGGCTGGTCACTAGTCACGGTGGTCTGTAGTAGCAGGCTGGTCACTAGTCACAGTGGTCTGTAGTAGCAGGCTGGTCACTATTCACAGTGGTCTGTAGTAGCAGGCTGGTCACTAGTCACAGTGGTCTGTAGTACCAGGCTGGTCACTAGTCACAGTGGTCTGTAGTAGCAGGCTGGTCGCTAGTCACAGTGGTCTGTAGTAGCAGGCTGGTCGCTAGTCACGGTGGTCTGTAGTAGCAGGCTGGTCACTAGTCACAGTGGTCTGTAGTAGCAGGCTGGTCACAAGTCACGGTGGTCTGTAGTAGCAGGCTGGTCGCTATTCTCGGTGGTCTGTAGTAGCAGGCTGGTCACTAGTCACGGTGGTCTGTAGTAGCAGGCTGGTCGCTAGTCACAGTGGTCTGTAGTACCAAGCTGGTCACTAGTCACGGTGGTCTGTAGTAGCAGGCTGGTCGCTAGTCACAGTGGTCTGTAGTAGCAGGCTGGTCACTAGTCACGGTGGTCTGTAGTAGCAGGCTGGTCGCTAGTCACGGTGGTCTGTAGTAGCAGGCTGGTCACTAGACACGGTGGTCTGTAGTAGCAGGCTGGTCGCTAGTCACGGTGGTCTGTAGTAGCAGGCTGGTCACTAGTCACAGTGGTCTGTAGTAGCAGGCTGGTCACTAGTCACAGTGGTCTGTAGTAGCAGGCTGGTCACTAGTCACAGTGGTCTGTAGTACCAGGCTGGTCACTAGTCACAGTGGTCTGTAGTAGCAGGCTGGTCACTAGTCACAGTGGTCTGTAGTAGCAGGCTGGTCACTAGTCACGGTGGTCTGTAGTAGCAGGCTGGTCACAAGTCACGGTGGTCTGTAGTAGCAGGCTGGCCACTAGTCACAGTGGTCTGTAGTAGCAGGCTGGTCACTAGTCACGGTGGTCTGTAGTAGCAGGCTGGTCACTAGTCACAGTGGTGTGTAGTAGCAGGCTGGTCACTAGTCACGGTGGTCTGTAGTAGCAGGCTGGTCACTAGCCACAGTGGTCTGTAATAGCAGGCTGGTCACTAGTCACGGTGGTCTGTAGTAGCAGGCTTGTCGCTAGTCACAGTGGTCTGTAGTAGCAGGCTGGTCACTAGTCACGGTGGTCTGTAGAAGCAGGCTGGTCACTAGTCACGGTGGTCTGTAGTAGCAGGCTGGTCACAAGTCACGGTGGTCTGTAGTAGCAGGCTGGTCACTAGTCACGGCGGTCTGTAGTAGCAGGCTGGTCGCCAGTCACGGTGGTCTGTAGTAGCAGGCTGGTCGCTAGTCACAGTGGTCTGTAGTAGTAGGCTGGTTACTAGTCACAGTGGTCTGTAGTAGCAGGCTGGTCCCTAGTCACAGTGGTCTGTAGTAGCAGGCTGGTTACTAGTCACAGTGGTCTGTAGTAGCAGGCTGGTCACTAGTCACGGTGGTCTGTAGTAGCAGGCTGGTCGCTAGTCACAGTGGTCTGTAGTAGCAGGCTGGTCGCTAGTCACAGTGGTCTGTAGTAGCAGGCTGGTCACTAGTCACGGTGGTCTGTTGTAGCAGGCTGGTCACAAGTCACGGTGGTCTGTAGTAGCAGGCTGGTCACTAGTCACGGTGGTCTGTAGTAGCAGGCTGGTCACTAGTCACGGTGGTCTGTAGTAGCAGGCTGGTCACTAGTCACAGTGGTCTGTAGTAGCAGGCTGGTCACTAGTCACAGTGGTCTGTAGTAGCAGGCTGGTCACTAGTCACGGTGGTCTGTAGTAGCAGGCTGGTCACTAGTCACGGTGGTCTGTAGTAGCAGGCTGGTCACTAGTCACGGTGGTCTGTAGTAGCAGGCTGGTCACTAGTCACGGTGGTCTGTAGTAGCAGGCTGGTCACTAGTCACGGTGGTCTGTAGTAGCAGGCTGGTCACTAGTCACGGTGGTCTGTAGTAGCAGGCTGGTCACTAGTCACGGTGGTCTGTAGTACCAGGCTGGTCACTAGTCACAGTGGTCTGTAGTACCAGGCTGGTCACTAGTCACAGTGGTCTGTAGTAGCAGGCTGGTCACTAGTCACGGTGGTCTGTAGTAGCAGGCTGGTCATTGTCACAGTGGTCTGTAGTAGCAGGCTGGTCACTAGTCACGGTGGTCTGTAGTACCAGGCTGGTCACTAGTCACAGTGGTCTGTAGTAGCAGGCTGGTCACTAGTCACGGTGGTCTGTAGTAGCAGGCTGGTCACTAGTCACGGTGGTCTGTAGTAGCAGGCTGGTCACTAGTCACGGTGGTCTGTAGTAGCAGGCTGGTCACTAGTCACGGTGGTCTGTAGTAGCAGGCTGGTCACTAGTCACGGTGGTCTGTAGTAGCAGGCTGGTCACTAGTCACGGTGGTCTGTAGTACCAGGCTGGTCACTAGTCACAGTGGTCTGTAGTACCAGGCTGGTCACTAGTCACGGTGGTCTGTAGTAGCAGGCTGGTCACTAGTCACGGTGGTCTGTAGTAGCAGGCTGGTCATTGTCACAGTGGTCTGTAGTAGCAGGCTGGTCACTAGTCACAGTGGTCTGTAGTAGCAGGCTGGTCACTAGTCACAGTGGTCTGTAGTAGCAGGCTGGTCACTAGTCACGGTGGTCTGTAGTAGCAGGCTGGTCATTGTCACAGTGGTCTGTAGTAGCAGGCTGGTCACTAGCCACAGTGGTCTGTAATAGCAGGCTGGTCACTAGTCACGGTGGTCTGTAGTAGCAGGCTGGTCGCTAGTCACAGTGGTCTGTAGTAGCAGGCTGGTCACAAGTCACGGTGGTCTGTAGTAGCAGGCTGGTCACTAGTCACGGCGGTCTGTAGTAGCAGGCTGGTCGCCAGTCACGGTGGTCTGTAGTAGCAGGCTGGTCGCTAGTCACAGTGGTCTGTAGTAGTAGGCTGGTTACTAGTCACAGTGGTCTGTAGTAGCAGGCTGGTCCCTAGTCACAGTGGTCTGTAGTAGCAGGCTGGTCACTAGTCACAGTGGTCTGTAGTAGCAGGCTGGTCACTAGTCACGGTGGTCTGTAGTAGCAGGCTGGTCGCTAGTCACAGTGGTCTGTAGTAGCAGGCTGGTCGCTAGTCACAGTGGTCTGTAGTAGCAGGCTGGTCACTAGTCACGGTGGTCTGTTGTAGCAGGCTGGTCACAAGTCACGGTGGTCTGTAGTAGCAGGCTGGTCACTAGTCACGGTGGTCTGTAGTAGCAGGCTGGTCACTAGTCACGGTGGTCTGTAGTAGCAGGCTGGTCACTAGTCACGGTGGTCTGTAGTAGCAGGCTGGTCACTAGTCACGGTGGTCTGTAGTAGCAGGCTGGTCACTAGTCACAGTGGTCTGTAGTACCAGGCTGGTCACTAGTCACAGTGGTCTGTAGTACCAGGCTGGTCACTAGTCACAGTGGTCTGTAGTAGCAGGCTGGTCACTAGTCACGGTGGTCTGTAGTAGCAGGCTGGTCATTGTCACAGTGGTCTGTAGTAGCAGGCTGGTCACTAGCCACAGTGGTCTGTAATAGCAGGCTGGTCACTAGTCACGGTGGTCTGTAGTAGCAGGCTGGTCGCTAGTCACAGTGGTCTGTAGTAGCAGGCTGGTAACTAGTCACGGTGGTCTGTAGTAGCAGGCTGGTCACTAGTCACGGTGATCTGTAGTAGCAGGCTGGTCACAAGTCACGGTGGTCTGTAGTAGCAGTCTGGTCACTAGTCACGGCGGTCTGTAGTAGCAGGCTGGTCACTAGTCACGGTGGTCTGTAGTAGCAGGCTGGTCGCTTGTCACAGTGGTCTGTAGTAGCAGGCTGGTTACTAGTCACAGTGGTCTGTAGTAGCAGGCTGGTCCCTAGTCACAGTGGTCTGTAGTAGCAGGCTGGTCACTAGTCACAGTGGTCTGTAGTAGCAGGCTGGTCACTAGTCACGGTGGTCTGTAGTAC